GGGTGCGCCAGGGCAGGCAGCCCAGCTGAGAGATTGCTCCTCCTGCCCACTCCCTCCCTCCACAGCCCAGGACCTTGACATCATGATATACCAGTATATCACAATGGTTAGCATGTGATATATCATGCTAACCAGGTATCACCCAGCCCTAGCTACTACTTAGCTCCAAACATCTTTGCCCACCCTGCAAGCTTCCTGCAGTCCTAAAAGGCACATCTCCATTTCCCATTCTCTACTGGAGATGTATTGATAATTTAAGCATTGCTTTCATCTAAGGAAATAAGGCACTTGTCTTTGTATTAGTACACCCAAATCTCGCTTTCATACTTAATATAAAACACACACGCACACACAGCAAACTCAGTTGAAATAAAAAAGTGACACTGCTTTGTCTGTCTGAGCTAAACACTGACCTTTATCTTATTGTAAGTGTGGGTAAAAAACAACACACACACCAGTTTGTTTGTTTTTAAATGTAGCTTTTGTAAAGTCCCCTCCTGGTCTCAGGTGTAACAATATAAGCCTGTAGAACAGCTTGCCATAGAAGGCCTTTCCTAGGTCTGGTTACGTTGCTTGAAAAAACAGTTAAGTACAGAGCAGGAACTGGTGCAGTAGAGAGCCTTATTAAGGCAGCGTATATTGAGTACTGGACTGTATATCTTATTGGAAGTCAATGATGCATAAGTTCCTGGGTGCCTAACAGGACTCTCAAGGATAAAATCTCAGGATCTATTTAGTTTTCCCAGTGTTTCTCCAGAACAAATTGGCTCTGATCCAAAGGGCCCATGGAGGCTGATCTAAAGCCAGTTCTTTCACAGTTGTAAAGGATGCAAGAAAAGAGGGAAGTGAATGAGTATAATTTCAACCCAGGAACAAGCTCATAAAATCAATGACTCCCAAAGTGCTATTGAAAAAAAGTGGTTTTTCATACCTGCTCATTACACCATCTGAGTTAGGAAAGAAACACTGAAATCATCCATTGTCTTTAATTTGTAATGATGGGTCATATTTGGTTACTGCTCAATTATAGACAGCTATATTCGTTCCCAGCATGTTGCACCGCTATCCTTCCCAGACCTACAGTTTCACAACGGCACAATTTGCACCTGTAGGTAATAAGGATGTAGTAGTGCGTAACATCATAAGTTGGAGAGGTAGCTGTATAATCTGGACTTCATGTGCCTAGATGATAATGTGACCAGTGGTGGTGGTATGAGAGAAATTGGGAGATAAGCACTGATGCTGCCAGAGTACATTTAACCAGGTGGCTGCAATTTATTTAGGTGCTACTGCATTCAAAACTGGAGTTTTCCATTGTCACCTTTGGAGTATCGCTTACTGCTTATGCATTGCCTATACTGACCTGTTCCCTCTATGTTTCTTCCCCTCCAATTCCTTGGCACTTCCGTACAGATGGCAATAAGGAATGATTCCTCAGATACCCATAGCTCAGAAAGCCGAGAGAACATCCATGCCGAGGTGAGTGAGCTCTGTGATCCAAATTTGTCAGCTCCATCCACTGAGGATCTGTCTGTCACTCTGACGCCCTCAGAAGCAAGAGACTCAGCCGGCTGGGGGCGATCGAGCGTTCATACTCAGCAACATTCCCGCAATCAGTATAACATTTCCATGCATGTGCCGGATTTGTGTGCCTGTACAGACTCCCTTCAAGAACTGCCTGGAGACCCGATGGACCAAGAAGTATCAGAAATAAATAGCTCTTTTACTTCAGGAACTTGTTCAGCCATGAGTGCCTCTTCAGTGGTTCAGCCCGAGACCCCTAAGAGAAACGTAGGCAACAGTGGCAATGTCACTTTGAAGGACCTGAAGAAGTGCTACAGTGTAGATACACAGGGTCTTCTTAAAAAACCATCATCCTGGTTAGATGATCAAAGGAGACATTCCATAGAGATTTGCTCCATGGAAAACAGCCCTCAGCATCATTCCACATCTAGTTCTTCTGGCTTCATAAGTCAGGTCTTAAGTGAAATGGAAGGCTTGCAAGGGACGCGGCAGAAGAAAAAACTGAGTCCCCCGTGTATATCAATAGACCCACCTGATGAACAGAGTTTGTTACTGAGGGGGCCACGCAGTGCCACACTGCCTGCCAGTGCAGACGTTTGCTTGCGAAGACGCGCCCCGTCCTGGGATTCCAAGGATTCGGTGGACGCAGGGGACTCGGCCCTTCCAGACAGTATGTCACTAACTCCAACCCCAAAGAAAGACTTGTTGACTCTTCCTAGCTTTTCCTTTGATCAAACAGATGCGGACCCTTGAGTTAGTTTGTTTTCCGTTGTTGGTGCCAAATGTTTCTTTTCTCCCTCGTGTAATAAATTAAACCTTTCCATTCTAAAATGGCACTGATTTCTTAAAAAAAAATATCCAAAGAAAGTTTAAAGAGCTAGCTGGTTTTAAGAGTGGTTAAGCTATATCACGCTTACTTAAGCATAAGTTCTGCTTGGGTAAAAGCAATACATTGTTCAGAGTCTATATGTATATTCTATTTTATTAAATTAATTGAACCTAGTATTGCAGGATGTAGTACATTTTGTGGCTTAAAGACATTGTTTATTTTCTTCTGTTTTATGTATCTCAGAATATTCCTGAGATTGCGTTGGTTTTTTTTAATGAATATTTTAACCTTTAAAAATACATATTTAATCCTCCCCTATTTTCTTTTCATTTTGCAAAGCACAAGATGTAGCCATTAGTGCATTACTGAGAAAATGTGTCCCATGGTCAACTAGAAATGAGAATATTTGCAATTATAATGTACTTCACTCACTGACCCCTCAACTATTTTCTGTAGAAAATAGCCATTTGGATATTTTTTTTACAACTGTATTGGCATTAAAAAAAAGAATAAAATAATATCCAAAATGATTTTTATTACACTGTAGAGGAAAAGCAAGTGCACAAGCTGAAGAGCATATGGGATAAGCAGATAGACTTGAAAGAAGGTTTCTTATAGAGAGAATTCAGCAGTCTCTTAGCAATACACAAGACTGTTTAATGTGCCAGATATTTGCTGTTGCTTACTTCGGTGATCCCTAAAATCATACTGAGCGTGAACACCTAAGGTGAGGCCCTTTGTCCTCTTCCATTGCCCTTCCTAAATATGCAGAGTATGACCTAAAGGCAGAGAAAAGGTTGTGATGCTGCAGGGTTGTCATGATCTGGTACTCATAGAGGACAATCATGTGCGCTTTACAGGGCCGGCCCACCCATGAGGCAAGGTGAGGCAACCACCTTGGGCGGCAGGATCAACAGGGGCAGCAGATCCTGATGTAGATCTTTATTTCAGCCCTTTGTTCCTGATGTCAATCTTCACTCCCCACGCTGCCTTCCCTAGTAAGGAGGTGGGAAGACCACTTTGTGGTTCGCCTCAGGTGCCAAAATGTATTGGGCTGGCCCTGGTGCTTTACTAAGTCTCATCATTCTCCCCTTCTTCTGGTGGGACAACAAAACCCAGCAGTGGCAGCAACTGCTTACAAAAGCAATCCAACCTTGTACAGTCCATCCATTTCACCTGCCTTAAAGTGCCATCAGCTACCCACTGCCAAATGGCAGTGTTTCTTTTTATTTTCTGTGGGATCAGACATTTCACATAATGACTGCAACTGGATTTCACCCCTGACTGCCATAAACAGCAAATTAAGGGTCTGGAAAATACTGTACATCTGTGGTGCAATGGAACATAATTTGAACAAACAACTTGCCTGAGAATCCCTCTTTCTCTAGTGGTAGCCATACAGTGGCTAAATGCACAATTAAATTCTTTCAGAGTTATACTGCAATCCTAAACACATTTACTCAGAAGTAAGTTCCCTTTGTTTCAGTGGAACGTGCTTCCAAGAAAGGGCTTAAGCTAACAACTGACAGTGATTTGCCTGGTTCAAAATTAAGGTTGACCTAAACTGAGCAGGTAAAGCTTTTCTTGCCATACAGCTCCACACTAGCAAGCTGCTAACAATCTATGTGTCAGGTTGCTTTTAAAGGCACAAGGATAGGGGCAAGTAAAAAGGTTCCAGTGCTACAAATAAACCTAGTATGTCAATTTCTTTCAGTGGCTGAGAGAACCATTTCTATATAAAAGAACCTATTTGAGGTTTGCAGGTGTATCCCATAAAGTACAGTCGTACCTTGGATCCCGAAAGCCCTGGAACTCAGACGTTTTGGCTCCCGAATGGCGCAAACCTGGAAGTGAGTGTTCCAGTTTGCAAACATTCTTTTGGAAACCGAACGTCCGACGGGGCTTCCACAGGTTCTGATTGGCTGCAGGAACTTCCTGCAACTAATCAGAAGCTGCGATTTGGTTTTCGAACGTTTTGAAAGTCGAACAGACTTCCGGAACGGATTCCTTTCAACTTCCAAGGTACGACTGTAAATTCAAAGAATGCAAAGAATTCCTGCAGTAACAGGAAGATCATCTTAGGAGTGCTTTTAAATTGTATTAGCCTCTCATCAGTCTTAACAGGATCAACCCCAGACTAATTTTCTCAGCATAATGATCAGGCATCTGCTCTATGTAAACCTGGAATCATCAGATTTTAATGGATCTTTTCTGTTCATTGTCAGCTGCTTAGGGGTTTTATTTACAGTTCAGTAGCATACTGATTTTGATAAATAAAATCACCCAAACTGGTCTAGCAGAACCCAGTCTTCATCCACATGCTGAATGCTAAAGCCAAACAGTTTTCCATTCACATGGTGGGCTTAATATGAGCCCAAACCAAGACTGGCAGTGGCTACATTGAGGACATGTTTTGCTTTGCAATTCTAGGTTCTACAGCGTTGCTGCCATGCTCCTCTTCCTTAAGAAAGGGTGGGGGGGACTCTCTTTATAGTGGTAGTGAAATTGATAATGATTCCAAAAATAAACCAGAAAAACTGCCCTTATAACCAAGAACTCCAGAAATTAATGTGTACAGTTATTTTACATATAAAAAAATGTCTCTCCTACCTTTCTGTTGCCTGTGCACCTGTTCCCTGTTCATCAGTCAATATGTTAGCAGGTGGCAGTCATGGGGCCTGTAAAAAGCATAATACATTCTCTGTAGGATTTATATACACAGAGATGGATTCTGCTGTCATGTTGTCTCTTGTTAACCTGTTTTTAACCACTGCTGCTTCCGTGCATTCTGTGCTTGCAACAACTCCCTTAAGTAGGTTAGGCTGAAAGAGAGTGATTTGTCCATGGCTACCTGTGAGTTTCACTACTGGGCGGGAAGGGAACCTGGATGGTACCAAACTGCTTAATCCTGAAGCCGCCACACACACTGGCTCATCCTCCAAACAGCTTTGGCTAGTTAAAACAGTGCAAAAGGGTTGAAGAAAGGGGTGGATTTTTTAAAAAATGTTTTACTGCAGCTCACAATTCTGGAAAAAAAATTACCACTAAAAGCAGTTCTTTGCACTGGTCTAACTAGACAAAATGATCACAAGAGTAGGGAGGGCTGGTTCTTCCCTATGCCTTTGGCACGCAATTCGGTTACATATATTAGTGAAGAGAGCATCACCCTCTAGACAAAGAATGAGTTAATACAGTGGTACCTCGGGTTACAAACACCTCAGGTTACAGACTCCAGTAACCCGGAAGTAGTACCTTGGGTAATGTTAAGTTGTGGGTGAACATATCAGACGACACAGCAATTCTTCAAATAGCTCTTGTTTATTCACAGGCCAGAACAGAACTGAACTGAAGGGTTCAGCCAGCCTGCTTATATAGAGCTCCACTAGAACGCAACAGTACCCATTTTCTGTAACTATCCAATCACTGAACGTCCCTTTTGATCCCTTATTTGCATATGTGGACCTCAACTATCTACAGTATCCCCCTGCTGGCCCAGGGTGAGAACTTCAGTACATAAGAGTTAAGAACTTTGCCCCAGGATGAGAACAGAAATTGCGTACCAGTGGCACAGCGGCAGCAGGAGGCCCCATTAGCTAAAGTGGTACCTCAGGTCAAGAACGGTTTACGGTTAGGAATAGACCTCCGGAATTAATTAAGTTTGTAACCAGAGATACCACTGTAAATGTATTATTTCCAAGGATCCCAAGGGTTGCACTGGCACAATTAGTGGTGCTTCTGCAGCGTCCAAGCATGCACTCTCACACACACATACACACTGTTGCACTGGGAACTGCCTTTTTTTCTACAGTCCAGGCTTCCAACCTTTAGAAAGCCCCTCCTTCGTGGTGAGATGGCTTTGCTTTTAACAACATGCTCCTGTTTTTGCTGGAAGAGATCCACTGAATTCAGTTTAACCTGCCTCTGTGTAAATGTAAACATATTTAGGACTGCAGTGTTGGCATATGTTGTTAATCCAATTAAGGCTAAAAGACATTCTAGGCCATGCATTCCTATGGTCCTCATTCGATCAAACATTCAGTCTAGACCTGGAACTGTATTTAAAGATTGATTAAAGGGAAAGGCAAACAATATTTTGAAACTCAGATTTTGAATACTTGAAATTCCAAAATAATATTAAAAATAAAATAGAATAAAACTGGAACTAGTATGATTACTAGATTAGACAACCTCATACTGGATCCTTACCTAAAAGCACATTTCATGTGGACCTTGTCACCAAGTGATGGTATAAATCACTGTAAGGTTGTATAATTTTGCAACATATCTGAATTAACACCCATGTATCCTACATAGCTCTCTGTGCCAATAGAATCTTGGTTCAGTATCATCCCTGCTTGTGCAATATCCTGAACACCCCAATGCTTCTGTTTCTCCAAGCCATTGAGTTTGAAATAGAATGTGAAATTTTGAATTCAACAAATTCATCAACTAAAAGTTACGATTTTTGGACCTACTGACCATATTACCACAATTAGTGCAATTCTTAGAAACCGGTCTATCATTGTAATTTTCTCTGGTTAATGGGGGGAGGGGAGGATTAAAAGACAGCACAATAAGATGGAAATATGTTTAATCCTTTGCTTTGGTTTTGAGGTTTTTTCTCATTCACCAAAGCCCTATGCAGATATTCAAAGCTATGCAAGGACAATGTATCAGGGACCATGCTCCTTTTTTCTGTTCCCACTCCCACACACAGGCAACCCTGCCATTTGCATATTCATCTATCCAACTTGTGTGCGTAGGGGGCTAGACACATAGAGCCCAACACATGTCGTTCCCAACCTCACAATCTATGTACCCAATATTAGAATATACAGATGGCAGGCAGGGGTGACTTTCATTGGCCTCTGCAAGCATAGGCTACAGTGTAAATATGGCAAAGTAATACACAGATATCAGAAGTGAGTCATGCAAAGGAACATGGTCTTGATCTTCTCACTATGCTTAGCTTCAAACATCTGCATACAGCGGAGGTGAGGGACCTATGGCTCTCCATATGCTATTCAACCATATTTCCCTTTCAGCCCCATTCAGCATGTCATTAGTCAGGAAATATGGGAGTTTGAGTGCAACAACACAAAGGGCTGCAGGTTCCCCACCCCTGGCAAAGGGATTCTGATAATGGAATAGCGAGGTGTCAATAAAATGATGGTACACAATTTCAGCAATTGTTAAAATGTACAGTATTGATCTGGCTGCAATCAAATCTACAAAGACTACAGACAAAGAGCATAATGTGCAATATTTCAGAGGGGAATGTGGTGCAAAATGTAATGTACACTGAAATCTCAAGAACTGTAACAATATCCTTAAAAAAAAAAATGTTTAAAGATGTTCTGTTTTCAGCGCTTGGGGATTTTCCCACTCAGAAACTCCATGTGCATATCAATAAAGCAAAGATTTGCTTCATAAAATCATATTCAATAAAAAGATCAATACAAAACTTACTGTAACCTAATGCGTTCAGGAAAATAATGCATGTAAACTACTTTGTGATACAAATATTTTCTAGTTGCCCTTTTGAAAATCCAATTACAGTACTAAAGCATGTGCAATAATCTTCGAAGAATTTTAAATACCTTTGGGATGGGCTTTTTTGAAATATATATATAATTTGACTTTTTTTAAGAAAACAAAAAGGTTCTAAAGAGAAATACACAAATTCTGTAGAATGGTTATGCTGATTTTTTAATATATATTTTTGTAGAAATCTCTAGAGCAATTGTCAAGCCTGCCAAGCATCTTGGAAACAGAAGAGGCCTAAGTTCTGGCATTTTAGTCTGAGGCTTTTGAGACCAGAGCTGATATGTTTTGAGATACGTGTTTTTACCTGTTTTTCCAATATCAAGGGTAAGGATTTGAGAACTTAATTTTAGCTCCCTGTTCTAAACACATTTTGAAGAGGCCAATCGCTTGACAATTTCATAGTAGATGCACTACACAAGCAACCTGCTCTTGCCCAACTATCATTCATTTCAGCAGCTATTATTGAAATGACTGCATCTCAAGCATTAAGATTTTTTCCCCCTGCTGAATTCATTTGGATGTGGACTGCATGCACCCACGAAATAAATTCAGCTACATTCATGGCTCTTTTCTCCACTGATTTGTTAATGGCTGATGAGGGTTATAAAACTTCAGTCATTTTTTTCAGTGTGATTAGTAGAACAAGGCTGCAATCCTTTACACACTTACCCTGAGTGTAGGCATGTAAAGAATTACACAGTAAGGCTATGATCTAAAGCACACTTTCTACTGAGTAAGTCCCACTGAATTCAATGAGCTTTCTGAATATATATCACTGGGATTTGAACAAAACGAGTAGGTTAGCTTAGAGAGCAACTAACTAAGATTTCATGTCACAAATTAATTTTATTTGCAAGAAAAATGCTATACTAATGAGGTTTTTGTAACATGCTAATTTATGAACATTTAATCTGTTTTAAAGTCTATTATTGATCAGATAAAAATTCTGACTCTATTGACAGCCTTACTGACAAGTAATGGGTGCTTCAAATGATTGCAAGTTGCAATCATTAGAGGGTGGGGACAGTTATGTGAATTTGCCATTTATATGTATGTGATTCCTATTGACTTCACTGGGACTCTGGTGCATCTGAGTGTGTTTAGAACGGGATTTTTCCTATTCTTTGATGCTGCAGTTCTTAGTTGTTAGGTTGTTGTTGTTATTTTAAAACATACTAACTTAAAGCATATTGCCCCTAGTAAACCCAAACGAGAAATGCTATCCAGTTTGTTTTAAAGCACACCAGCACTTTAATATTGTGGATTTACTGTATACTGGTAGGAAGAGAGTATTCTGCTTTTGCCAGTGTATATTATGAGGGTAAACACTTACTACCATGTCTGAGGGAGGAAAAAGAAAAATGTAAATTCCATACTTGCAAACATTGCACATGGTATTTCTATAACTTTTAGGTAGATTACAGGTTATTTAAACTGTAGATAATTTGGAAGAAGATACAATGTTTTTGGCTTCTGTAAATTGCACTCAACAGAAAATCTGGTTTTGGACAGGAAAGGGGGGTTTATAATTGTAAAGTATGCCTCAGTTTCCCCTTCAATGCCTCACTGACTATAATAACCCACATAGAATCTTTCACAAAAATTACTAGAGTAGCCGCAGTACCAATGTCCATTAACAACCTAGTAACTATTTTAGAACTTTGTATTTAATAGATAATATATTGTTAAACTGTATCAGGTATAGAGACCTAAAATTGGGTGTTTGGTGAGGGCAACAAAAGATGGTACTATTGGGGAATACTGGGTTAAAATGTTTTTTTTTTATGAGTGTAAATCTTTACAAATGACAAAAACAAATGTGTACTATTAAAAGCTTTTGAAAAGAAAAGGCATGAACCCTGATTCTTTTATTCTTAGTTATTTGATCTGTATATGCAAACAGCACATATCCATTATCAACACCTAGGCATGATCAGTGTCAGTCTACAAATAATCCACATCAATTTGTAGAAACACAGGCAGTCGGCTTCAATGATCCAAACATTTCTTTACTGTCAACAGCAAGGGGTTCCTATGATGCACTGAAACTCCCACAGAATCTCTGTCTGGTGTTTTGTTAATGTACTGTGGCAAATAATAATTAGAACTATTTTGGTCGTGAATGTTGCTCGTAGAGTACAGAGCTGTGGTGAAACCTGTGCCACTACGTTTCAATTGATCTTTCTGCATGCCAACTTAAAGGAACACTTACCCGCAGGAGCGGATGTTTATTTTTTTGCAATGTAGGTTTGAATCATTGCTGTGCGTTGTCTGGTGGACAGCAACACGAGAACGGACCTTTTCTGCAGTGGCTCCCCATTTGTGGAAGGCTCTCCCTGGGGAGGCTCGCCTAGCGCCTTTGGCTGATGAAAAATGCTATGGCCTTAAAAAAAAAGTATATTATTATTATTCATAAAGAATTGTTATTGACATAAACACATACAAAATGCAGAATGAATAATGAATGTAACAATCAACAATAAAAATAGAAAAATAACATGAAATGAGAAAACAGAGGGGAGGGGAAACCTGGGAGACAACTGAGAGTGCAATGACACATACAATTATCACATAAAAGAAGAAAAAGGTGAGTCAATTTTGTTCTCAGCGGAGCCTCTCTCCACATATTTATCTGTGGAGCAGGGGTTTTAGTGGGCTCTGCAGATGAGTTAACATAGAAGGAAAACTTGAATAAATGTGGTCTGTTTCTGATGAACCATTAAGGGCTCTCCATTTGTGTGTCAGGTGTTCTGACAGTGCAATGTACCACACAGGTTGAAAAATGACACAGTACAGCTAGAGAGCAAGAATCTCCCCTGGTCATCAGGTGAAGGACCCTGCTTCAGGCAGCATCCCCATGTTTCCAGGATGTAACTGTCAACTGAACCCCCTAAGCACCTGTGCCCCTTGCCTCCACGGCAGCTGAGTGAGCAGGCCAGTTCCCCTTCCTTCCTCCAGAGAAGCAACTTATGTTTGCCCCATCCGTCCCCACAATCTGCCAGACAACAGCAGTGGCACCCAAGAAAGCACTGCCGAATTGCTTTTAAAATAGCATTGGATGGGAAGAGAGAGATAATCCTGTATCTGCTCAAAAATAAGTCCCATTGGTTTACAGAACAATCCTAACCATGTCTGCTAAAAAGCAAGTCCTATTGAATTCAGTAGGGTTCACTTCCAGGTAAATGGTATTAGGATTACAATTTTACTCTCAGGAAAGTGAGTATAGGGTGCTGCGAAGGGTCACATTCAAAAAAAGGCTATGAATTAGACAAACCACCCTGTTCAGCAGAGCAGAAAAAATTAAACTTGTATAGCTCTTCATATTCAGAAAAATAACCATCAGCACATTTTAATGGCATCATAAGCTGCGTGTACACTTTTATATTTCTCTTCAAAATTATTTGACAAATAAAACATTTCCTTTGCAAATAAAATTATTATTTTAAGCTGCATGCACACATTATCACGCAGTACTGCACTGAAACTGATAAACGTTACATACAATTTGACTTCCATCTATGTCAGAAGCTTTGAGAAGCAGCCTGATCTGTTTTAAAGCTGCTCTTTAAAATGTCACACACACATGCATGAACTCAAATCCAGCAAATATGCTGCTGCCTCAGAGGTCATTGGTGGGGGTCAGCTTCTCCCCACATCATAGATTTTGAGAGCTACAGCCTCTTCTCCCTGGAAAAGGTAGATCTCTCCACTGATTTCCATAGGAGAAAGTATAGATTAGTGTGCAAAACAAACAGCTTTTAACCTCTCCACCAAATTCTTCGGAGTGGAATACCCAGGGGAAATGTGATTAAAATCTAGACCTGTCTGTCAAAATTAAAGATCCCCCCCTATCTATACCCTCCCTGTTCAAACTCAGGGTGTTTCTCCCATCAGCTTAGTTTCATTTCTCAGAAGGAAAAAAAATCTCTGAGCATATTTTTTGGATAGCCAAGGAAGTGACTCAGGAACTTAGGGAGTCCCTGATCTACCCCAAGATGCCTTGTCAACAGCACAATTCAACTCAAAAACGCGAGAGCCTTCCCCCAATCACCCTGATTTGCCTTGTAATTCAAGGGCCACACACTCCTGGTGAGTTTTCCCTCTGTGTTGTGCCTTGAGGACCTCTTCACACACTAAGCAAGTAAATGTGAACCCATGTACCAGGGGGCTATAACACAATCCCACAAGTGTGGTAAATATACAAACAGTAGAACCATATGGGGCCTTCCCACCTGAACGCTACCATCCATTTCAGTAGCCAGTGGTAGGTCCAAATGTTACAAAATTATTGGGGGGGGGCAGATCTTCCTTTCCCAGCAAGAATGTAGGTTACATTGCTGCCATCTAGAGGTTATAATAATTATATTTTACCAAATTATATAAAGAAAGACAAGGCAATACAGTATAAGGCAGAAACACTACCGGTACTGAAGGAATCGTGCTGTATAAGCTTATCTTCAGCACTTGCTTAGTTAAGAGTTGCTGTTTAATTCCATTAAACACTAACATAAAATAACCAGTTCAGCAAGGGCTGAATCCATCTAGCTAGGAACCCCCAACTGCCATTTCCCACAGAACCAAAAGAAAGACATGCTGCTACATAGGACACCAGGGTCAACTTCTCTTAATGAATGTATTGCTTTATTATTTTATTTATTATTATTTATTATTGGTATTGCTTTCATTATTCTCCCACATAAGGCTGTCATTTGAGGTAAAAAAAAAATGCTGCCAAAATTGCAGTCCAGGTAAAATGCATATGGGGCAGCAGATTGGCCTCCAGTAACTGGGAGCTATGAAGGTGTACTGTGTCTTTGTACAGAGCAAATGAGAATATACATACAAGGGTCCTGTGATAATCTGGTTGCCTTGCACACACACCCATCAGTCAGGATGAGGGGCATTTTTCTGGCATAAAGTATGAAAACCCAGTGTGTTTCAAGGCTTACATTCTGTTAATGGTTAAGAAACGTTTGTGATATCTGGTGCTATTCACATGGCGCAGCTCCTAAGTTGGCCTTTGTCTGCTGTTGCACAGCACTTTTCCTGTTGCAGTTCTACCCTTTCATCAATTTGTATTTTCAAACCGTGCATAGTCTCCAACATTTCTCCGATGAAAATAGGAACGTCCCATTCCATAACTACTTATACCCCACACATCTTACTGGGTTTCCCCAGCCACTCTAGGCAGCTTCCAACATATACAAGAACATAATAAAACATTAAACATTTTTTAAAAAACTTATCTATACAGGATTGCCTTCAAACAGCTCAGGGGTCGGATAACTCCATACCCTCCAACATTTCTCCAGTGAAAATAGGGACAACCTAAGGAAATGTGGGACATTCTAGAATCAGATCAGAAAGCCGGGCGGCTTCTCTAAATCAGGGACCTCCCTGGAAAATAGGGAAACTTGAAGGGTTTGACAGTGCCTTTCATTTTTATTGTAGTGTCAAGGCAGGTCTGCAGAAAATGAAAAGCCTTTTGAAGCATTGTTCCGAGAGAGAGAGAGAGAAAAAAAGAGAGAGAGAGAGAGAGGGTTTTTTGCTTTTATTTTAACTGTTCTGACGAGAGGCAGATATAGTTCATACAGAAAACAAAATGCTAGTCCTGTTCAGATGCACCATTTTGCAAGGATAGATAAACCTGCCCTGGAGTCATTGGACAGTGTGGGGACTGCCTGTCTAGGCCAACTCTGGCTTTCATGGCTTCAACCCCTAAGTCAAAGATAGCATGGTTCCAGCACAGTCTAAATATTTATTATTATTATTATTATTATTATTATTATTATTATTCACTTACACAACATTTCAGAGTGGTCAAAGCAAAGTAAAGCAGAAGCGGTAACTGCAGGTAAAGCAGTAATTGTGTGAGACTCTCCAGTGGGGTGTTTTCTCCTCATGCAAATACTGTAGTAGCTGTGAGGGTGATCTGCCTGCCCCCCTACCCTGAGTACAGCCCTCAGCATTTTCCCACAAGGAAGCAGATGGCCAGATTCAGAATCTGGCACGGGCTTTGGAAGTGGCTGCTTAAGCCTCAGAGGGAAGGACAAACCGGTAAGTATATCAGTCTATTAAACGACGGGCACAAACACAGTAACAAGGGGGTTCTTATCTCATAAATCCAGCACCTCTGACAAACACTACCCCTCCCCCCCACCTCCAAATTTAAATTATCATTTGTTCAGGGTGTGTGTGGAGCCAACACGTGCAACACATTCAGGCAACATTGCTCCGTAACAACTTCACACTCAAGATTGACCCCAGTCTGGTAGATTGACCCCATAGACCTCTGTCCCCCTGCTTCCTTACAGTTCCTGCTCCCTGGGGTCATGCATGTTTTGTTGTTTTTTGTTTTTAAATGCCTTTTCTTTTTAGCTCAGTCACCAGCACAAGCTATTACTACGGAACCCTCTGCATCTTGCCTCTCTCTGGCCCTTTTCAGAGTAGGTTGCTCTCCATCTCTGGCGCCATCTGCTGGCTAATTACAGTTCTTTGTGGGGAAGCTGAAGTGCTCCACAAGTGCAAAAATATTGGTTGCGTTATTCTGATAATTACAGCCTTGTCGGTGATTGAGACAAGCCTTAACCGTTGCATGCAATTTGAACAGAACCCTTCAGAGCGTACCTCCTTCCTTTCTCCAGAAACACTTCACTGTAATAAGACACGTTTGGCATAATTGGTGCGCACTTGTATTTGAGTGCGTCTTGTGGCGCCTGCATTCACTATTCACTGCACTTGTATCTGCAGCTGCTTTGTCCACTGATTTAATGACTCGTTGCTTTTCTGTTTCCCCAAATTCCTAAAAACCAAATCCTTTTCTTGCATGGATAATTGAACAATATTAATTTCCAGATAACCCAAGTGTTTGGGGCTGCAGGATGATGCAAAACTGTGTGATTTCTAGCAGGGGGGCGGAGGGAGATGTGTAGGAATAAACTGCCCATTTAATCTTAGACACTCTCTGATATTTATTCACATGGATGTAAAACTAAAAAAGAAGGAAAGAAAAAAGTCGGCACAGCATTTGTTTATATTCAAGGCTTGAACAGAGAAAAATCTAAAGTGTGCTAAGGCCCTTTTGGCAGCAGCAGCAATAAGGGCTATGGACCAACCAGTTGAGCTGATGTTATATTATTATGGAATCTTTGAGAAACAGATGCTGGAGAATTACTGGTTGTGCAGCCATTGCATGTTTACTCAGAGCAAAATCTCCTGTTGCATTCAAAGAGTCTAGCTTCCAAGTAAGAGGGCATAAACTTTTGTGAAATCCCATCTTTTATTTTATTAAAATCATTTTTATCCCCCCTCTCCTCAAAAAGACTTCAAGGTAGCCAACTTGAAGTACCAAATATCAAATAAAAGTACTTAAACAAATTAAGAATGTTTATATGAGTTGAAGGAAAGGGTTGCAAAAAGGACAATCAAGTAATTCTATGCCAGCAGTGCTTGTCTTGCTTCCATCAGTCTTTGTTGTTTTCTTTTCTCTCTCTTTTGTGAGGTCAAAATAATGTTCCTGAACATTCCAACGCCTCAAGGTGATGCATCAGAATCTACTGTAACAAAAGATGCATCTTTTATGGCAGCAATGAAAGTTCCATTTGGCTGGGGATATGAAGAGTCTGTGTACTGTTGGCAGGACTGGGTGGGAAGAAAAGGTAGGTATGGTGGGTGATGGGCAGAAAGCCCAGCTGAATGAGGACTGAGAAGGAAGTGGTGTAGATTTTCCGGAAAAGTTTGGCACATGTCTGAAGAGCTATTTATATACATGTGCTTCACAGGAACAGTCAGCAGGGAAAATTAATTACCAGTCATATCTAATATCAAAGTTGTATTGTATTCATGCCAATTGTCCTGTCTTGGTTGGACTGTACCCATAATTAGCCTTTGGAGTAACCTCTCAGATTCAATACCCTCTACTGTAACTAAACTAAAGATATGCCATTGTAATCATCATGTATTCTTCCCCTGTTTAATCTCTGCTTCCATTTCCTTCCCCTTCCTTCAATTCCCTTGTGTCAACTTTTAGACTGTATGCCTCTTGGGGCAGAAACCTGTCCAAGCATTCTTTGTAAAGCACCCTGGGCATAGGTGGTATTGTAAGCAAAACAGAAAGGAAACAAGCACACTAATGTTACTGTGGGTGTGGGCTTTGTATTCTTTATTTTTTATTAAAATATATTTCTAGAAATGGAAACTGTTAAGTAGAAAAATCTAGCAGTAGAAAATTTCCCCACCTGAATGAGGTTGTGGGGGCAAAGGTGGCCAACCTTTCTTCTGCCAAAGGTCTCCTTCTTTTAGGAATAATCTGTCAGGGGCTGCATACTAGATCTAGATCTAGATATGAAAAGTCTACCCGAAGCCATACAACCCAGAAAACAGTTTTAAACCAATCCATTTATTTTTATTGAACAAATAACAGTCCCTTAGGATTGCCCTGAAACTACACGGGGGGGGGGATTTTTAAAGCACAGAAAATATAAAGAGGAAACGTCTGATGGTACTGAATATTCAGGCAGCTTTTGGAGGCATCTGGGGCTACATAAAATGAGGGTGGTGCTGTGGTCTAAACCACTGAGCCTAGGGCTTGCCGATCAGAAGGTTGGCGGTTCGAATCCCCACAACAGGTTGAGCTCCCGTTGCTCGGTCCCAGCTCCTGCCAACCTAGCAGTCCGAAAGCACGTCAAAGTGCAAGTAGATAAATAGGGAAGGTAAACGGAGTTTCCGTGCGCTGCTCTGGTTCACCAGAAGCAGCTTAGTCATGCTGGCTACATGACCCAGAAGCTGTACATCGGCTCCCTCGGCCAATAAAGCAAGATGAGCGCCGCAACCCCAGAGTCGTTCGCGACTGGACCTAATAGTCAGGGGTCCCTTTACCTTTACCTTTACAGAGCTACATAAAATGAGATTGGTGGGTCACAGGCTACCCACCCATGGGGAAGGGGTACTAATGGTTTGGAAGTCTGAAAGGTCACTGGTTGAAGGAAGGAAAGAACAACTGGCTAAGGAATAGGGACTTTAGTGAATGGTATGTAGCCTGCCTAGCCACAGTCAGCAGAGCACATTGAGGAAACGGTGGTAGCTATTAAGTAAATCAAAAGCTATGGGAAATATGAGTGGCCATCATTTGATCCCTTGCACATAATCCACAAACTGCAGTTAGTGCAGAATACTGCGGCATGGTTGCTAATGGGAGTGAGACCCTGTCAGCATACAATACCTGTGCTCAGAGACCTGCATTGGCTACCAATTTGTTACTGAACCAAGTTCAAGGTGTTGCTATTGGTGTACAAAGCTTGGACCAATTTACTTGTAGGATTGCCCTATAAGACGACTCCACCGCTTCAATCTGCAGAACTGGTGCAACATAATAATCATTCTGCACTTATAAGAAATCAATCTCCTAGCATCTACACTTTAGAACTCCTCACCTATTGACACCAGGCAGGCATCTCCACAGTAATATTTTCATAGAGCCGCCATTCGTCCAGATTTTCCTTTACATTACTGTGATTTCCAAAATGTCTGGGGGAATATCCAAAAGGCAGCGCTTTGTCCTGGATCTTAGTTAAGTCAATGGAAAAATCATTTTTGGCTCAACAATTTTAAGGTCTTCTTTAAAAAGGTTCAACTTTTGGGGTGTACTGGTTTTTATAGGCAACCCTATATTTTCAGTGCCTAACCAGAATGCTGACATGTCTTAATCTCTTACCATTGACTTCAATATCTTTTGAATGTTTTGACACAACTGTTTTATTACTAACAATTTTAATGGTTTTTTTAATAAAAAAAACCCACTTAAGAGTTTTTATTACAATTAAGCAGTGTATAAAACTGTGAAATTAAAAATGAAAGAAAATAAATAGCATTATTTAAAATCGTTCACATTAAGGCTTCATAGCCATTAGTCCATGGGTAGGCAAACTAAGGCCTGGGGGCTGGATCCGGCCCAATCGCCTTTGAAATCCAATCTGCTGACAGTCCAGGAATCAGCGTGCTTTTACATGAGCAGAATGTGTGCTTTTATTTAAAATGCATCTCTGGGTTGTTTGTGGGGCATAGGAATGTGTTCATTTCCTCCCAAAAAATATAGTCCAGCCCCCCACAAGATCTGAGGGACAGTGGACTGGCCCCCTGCTGAAAAAGTTTGCTGACCCCTGCTTTAGTCCAATGGTAGTAAAGTGCAGGTTCAGAGAATATACCTTTGTGAGAACTACGGTTCTGCTGAACTGGCACCCTGGAACCTGAAATCACAGTGGGAAATTCCAAAAATTGTTCAAAATGTTTGATATCCTGCTTGTGTTTACACATTAGTGCATAAATTGCAATGTGTCTTTTCTTTTAACAGGTGCCAGGGAGATTGGCTTGCTGTACCACATTAGCAAGAAAGTGAATGACTAGCTAAAGTCTGTACTGGATATTAGCTACTGTGCTCTGGCCCATTAATTTAGTACAGTAAACAATGTATCTGTTCTGGGCATGCTTTTGACATCTTGACTGAAGCCATTCTTTTGGGAAACAATCCCAAATCTCTTACCTAAATCAAAACATGGAATTCCCGTATCACCAGGGTCTACTTTGGCCCCACTGAAATGAAGGAACCAGCATGGACAATGGACAGGGATGAAGTGAGCTGCATGGGGAAATAAGCATATTTCCTAGGTTTCCTTTCCTTCCTTTTCACCTTCTCAGCCCTTATCAAAATATCTCAAAGTCAGCAAATCCAAACATTTGCTACAGGAATAAACTAGGCCAATCACAGGAGCCCCAACAATAAAATATTTTAGGGGGCTGGGTCCCCACAAAGTTGATGGGCATTCCCATTCAAACAGTGTGTGTGCACTGTGTCATGTGATCGATTAAGCGGGGTGGGACTTACCTGCCCCCCCCCCAATATTTTATTTAAGTTGGCACCCAGAGGCCAATTGTAAAGGAATGCAAACCATCCAGGGTTAAATTATGAGCAGGCTGACCCTAAAGGTATATACTGAACGCTATTGAACCCAAAGGAACTTATTTTCTGATAATTTGTAATATGCTGGGGAGGTCTCAGGCCAGGAACTGTGGCAGTCAGAATCTGGAAGCCTTTCTCTTACACTTTGACCCATGTGAAAGCTTCTACTAGAGTACTGGCCTACCATATTGTTTTTAGCTATTTTTAAAAACAGCAAAAACGCACTGTCGACATGGGATGCCATATGTCGATATTTTCACAGACATTTCCCTGATGTCCGCACAGACACTGCTGCTGACTACAGTATTCCAGATATGTCCAGGGAAATCAGGACATATGGCAACCCTACGTACTGCTGCAGATGGCCAGAAAGCACCTAGAAGCTCAACAGAGTCACACCAGGGACCAAGGGAGTTCATCCCTGCCTTATTTCACCTCCATCCACCTACTTCTGAAAAGCTTTATTTGCCTCTGGTCTCCCAGCTGTGATAGCAAGTATTCTTGGGAATGTAGCCTTGGTCTGCTACACTAGGGGAGGGTCTCCGTGTATATCTCTTTTCTACCCTAATGTTCCAGTTATATATTATTTTCTGAACTGACCAAAATGGCACCTCTTGCATCGAACGGCATATAGAGGTGATGAGGTAACACAAAGTGAAGCAATCGGCTGAAGAACATGCTGGTCACTAGAGGGCAACAATATTCAGCCTGTAACTAGCAACAAGGGATGGGCTGTGCTGTGGTTTTGATGGGCTCTTTGAAAATGCC